TAAAAGAAAAATCAAATTGACTTGGTAAAACGAGAAAAGAATCAGTATGTATACTTCCTATTGCGAAAAAAGCAGCCAGGCCTAACCACCAAATTCTGAACGTACCTAGTCGGGTATGAATAAATATAAACAAAACTACCAAAAATTGAAGTGAATGCCACGGTTTTGAGGGGATCAAAGTTGGTGGCACCATCTATCGGAATAAAGAGAAATGAGGCCTTTTTTTTGTCTCGCAGTTATCGAGAGATCATTTTCTCTTATTTCATCAACAAATATTTCGCATATACGGGGCTTAATTTCTATGATTAGAAGTGCCGGAGCCCTATGGAAAACCGTCAGCAAAGAGGAACAAGAGTAAATAAATAAAAAAATGACTATTAAACTCATTAATAATTTTAAAATTAAATAGTTAATTATTATCAAATTAATTATAGCTATTTAATTAATGTTTATAAATTGTTAGTTAATCAATAATTATTACATAATTAATTAATTTGATTGATAATTATTATATAATTAATTTTTATTTATTGAAATAATTTAAAGATTGAAGTAATTAAATAATTAAAATTAAATAAAATGTAAAGAGATAAATTGAAATTTAAGAAGCGATTTTTAATATAATTTTGTCGTTAAAATAAAATTTTCGAGATAAAATTTCTACTGAAATTGTTATTCAATTACATAAAAGAAGTGCCGCAGTCTTCTTATTTTCAGCTCCGGTGCGCTTCGGCTAGAATTATGATTTATTACAAAAATTAAGAAGCACCGGAGCCGAAATCCGGTGGGCTCCAGCCCAATTTAAGCTCTGGTCGTAAGGGGGCAGTTCTTTTATCATCACAAAAATTAAATATACTTAAAGTACAGTTGATGAAAATTCCAGGGCGAAACAGAATGGGGGTATGAGTGGGTGGTAACAAAAAGTGAGGGGAATCTTGGTGAGAGAGAAAGTTTTCTTTGACCGCGGCTCTTTGCTGATATAATTATTGCCATCAAGCAGATGTGTGTCAGGGGTAAAATGAGTCTTGCAGTCCTAAGGATGAATGTAAAGTTGCTGGTTACGCTTCCTCCCCCTCATTAGTGAATACTGTGGGAAGACTATGTATAGGACGTGCTTGAGCAGTTTATCTCAATATTTCACTCTTATTGTACTCGCTGTCACTTAACGTACATTAAGAACACAAACTTTCCTTCCTGCGAGGATAACTAACTGTGAGCATCGATAACAATACACTAGATGCGATGGCACGGCAAGAAATTTACGCGTTCCTAAAACAAATTCCCCCAAATTTATTGCCCTTCTTAAAGGGAAAGGTTTCCGCATGTGAGTGAGGGGACTTTAGTTGAACGTCTCATGTTCTCATGAGTTCATATTTCCAGGAAAATAGAGTATTGTAAGGTCTGCTTATAGCTAAACTAAAACGTTAGGAATTCTAAATTTGTTCCCCCTTTAAATTGTGGTTCAGTTTTATGAAAAGAAGTATCGGAGCTCATCTTATTTAGAGCTACGGCTAAAATTGTAATTTATTTTAAAAACTGAGAAGTACCGGAGCCGCGCTCCGGTGGGCTCCGGGGCAATTTAAACACTGCGCATATACGAAATGATTTAAAAATGTCAGATCTCTAAATAATATTATTGATTACCTTTAAGCAAAAATTCTTGGTCAATGAATGACAAATCATAAAAACAGCTGGGGCAGAGAATTTATTTCAGAATTAGGGCTAAAATAAAATTGTCCGAGGCCCCATAGTTGCGCAGAACTTCGAAAGAGTATATAAATAATAATAATAATAATAATAATAAACCTAAATCACAAGCAATTAAAATTAGATAGAGTGTAAGTATAAATAACAAGTGAATAAATAATAAATCAAAATAATTTGCAAGAACAATTTGCAAGAACAAAAGACGAAAATGCTAAATGTACATGAATAATTTAACGAATTTGAAAGAAACAAAAACTGAAAAATTAATAAGGTAATAAAAGAATAAAATACAAGTAAGGATACAAAGTAAGTAAGGATAAATAAAACGCAAGTAAGTAAGGATAAAATACAAGTAAGTAATACGAATATAAATTCGGCGAATATCCTCCTCCTTCAGAACATAAACGACCAGTTTAGATCTGTGTAGTCTCACATTCATAAAATTAAAGTTTTCTCCAAGACCTTTCCGAAAAAACCTTTGCATAAGGTTCAGTAGCCTAATCCTTGTAGCACTGGGTGTCATAGCTCCTGGAAAAGACCTGGAAATGGTGCGCGGTCATCCAATTCGATGCTTCTCGACACAAAAATTCCGCGATTGTTGTCGATTTCTTTTACGCTGAAGTTACGATTGCGGGCCCGAGGCCTTTTCCAGACGAATCTCAGATCACTCTGTATACTGAATCACGATTCATCACTGAAGAAGGTGTAGCCCCAGTCTTGCTGTATCCAAGTATGATAAGCCTGTTTTCATGAAAACATGGCTCTGTGTTGCGATCTATTGAGGGGGATATATGCCACTGGTTGCCAAGCTTAAAAGGTCTGCCCTGCTAGGCGTCTATGCACAGTTTTCCTTGAATGCCTTCTCTTCAAGAAACACAATTCTGTAGGCAAATCTTACAGATTCGGAAACCGGCCACTTTCAGATTTTGAAAAAAAAAAATCTTTTTAACAGCGGCTAGATACTAACGTTACATTTACCATTCCCCAGATGGTATGTAACATCGATTTTTAAAATATCAGGGAAAAGGGAGCAAGGGAAAAATGTCCTATTAAATTGAAAATTTATTTTAAATAATTCATTACAATGAATTGCGTTTCTCCGCTCGGTGCTATTTTCTGTCTCTCCCGTTCAAAAATAAAGAAAAGTAGCTACCTCACGTTTTGAAATAACTGAATTATTTTTCACTCAGATTTAAAACATTTTCTTTACTAGAAAAAAGCTCTGTTTCCTTTTCGTTTCAGCTACGTTCTACTGATAACAGGTGACAATCATAATTAGAGCCAGGAAAAGTATTGGAAACCAGAGGAAGATGCTTTATTTTCTTTCAGAAAAGAAAAAATGTTCAGGGCATTGAACAAAAATTAAATATTTTTATATTATAGGAGCGTGCTTTCTAAATCACATGTGAGCATAGTTACTTTTTTATATTTGTATTAAGATATAAATAATATTATAGAGTCTAATTCTTTTTTTGTTATTATAGTTTCTCTTAACAGTCCTTTTACTTCTTTTCAGGATTATATTAAATGTGTAGTTGAGGTCCTTGGTAAATCTATTTGCGGCTCTTTATTTTACCTGAACTCTAACATGCGGCGTTTGCTGACATAAAGTTTCGCGACCCTCTAGCTATCCCATAACATAATATGCAAATAATTCATTTCGCATAAATGAATCATGACTTACTTCGCATGTAATTTTAAAACTCGATGCCGATTAAACGCGTTTCTGAAAAAAAAACTAAGTTATCTCCTCGTCACTGGAATATTTAGATGATTTTTCCAGCAATTTCTGTCATTTGCGATGCAGTTTTCAAACAATTATATTGTTGTTAGCAAAGCTAATCATGCATTTAAATCTGACGAACACCAAAGCTTGAAATAAAAACAAGTGCTGTATATATACATATTTTGATGCATGGAGGGTGCCGGCAAAAATTATGCACGTTTTGAATTATTATAAATTGTTTATTTAATAAGAAATAACCCAATTTTGTAAGTTAAATAAAAGAGAACAAAAATAAATCTGCGTAAATTATCGCAAGCGTTTGAACTTGTTTAATGCAAGAACGTTTGATAGTACATTGAAATTGTACTGAAAACGTTATGAATGTTTTTATTTGGTATCTTTGAGAGAATTTTCTTTAATAACCCTTTTCAAGTCATTAAATTGTAGCAGTTTTATACCCTAAACATCATCATTTATTTGTTACCGTCAAAAATGGAAAAATTAAATTAAAATTTTAATTTTTCCATTCGTTTGGCATAAGATCTGCCAGAGGTGGGATATATTTAGCCTTACTTCTTCGCCTAGAAGAATTTCCTCAAAAATTGGACCTAATATCTTAAAGATATTGGTAAAATGTTTTATCTCAATGGAAGTAAACAAATGAATTGCCAGAAATAATACTGATTACTATTGCAGTTGCTAGAAGTAAAATGCTTGTAATCTTTTGCAAATTCCTTTATACACTCAGCGGTGACTGATTTCGTTCTGTAGTTCTTTTCTTAATAATGCCCCATATTCACCTCTAGTTAATTTCTTAAACTTTTAGATAAAAATATTTGTCCATATAATAGAATTTATAGATAATATTTAGAATTGCCCTAGTTAATAATACCTTAATTTTACCTTACAGAAAAGAAGAATTTTGAACAAAGTCCAATTTAATTTGAAAATCCAAGCATATATGCCTCTCTAACAATCTAAACAATCTTTCAATGAAGCAACAACATTATGGCAAAGTCCGAGCTTTCTCTCAAGCGAGCTTTGAATAATTGTTCATATTTTCTCCTCTACAAGTTTAGAAAAATAATTTCTATACTTTTACTATGAGGTAGAAATTTTTTCTCTTGATTGCAATTTTAATTAGTACTTCAGCAAGAAAATAACTGCGTCGTAAATTATTTCTTTTAACTGCGAATTTTTAATTAGTCCTTCAGCCAGAAAACGGCTGCTTCTTGACTATTACACACATATCCTTTTTTCTTCTCAACGGAGTTCCTTAAATGCAACTACTACAGCACAAAAGAAAGCACAACAATGATATTTTTCTAAAATTCTACCGTACTGAATTCTAATTAGAACATAGGCAAAATTTTCGATAAACTCTGCTGATAAATATCGCAAGTTAGTAAGGAGCAGTTAATTTTCAATAGTTGTCTGCAAAGCTAATAAATTTAACATTTTTAACCCTTAATTTCTTCATTCTTTCTTCAGACGTTTTATTGGCAGATCAATGCATACATACTGCAGCATAATATAAATAAATAAAATGTTTTGTATTCAGACTTACTTAGTTGGCGAAACATTTGTGAGTGTGATGTAATTGTTTCGTACAATTTTAAGACTTGCCAAGATCTGTGCGAAAGGAGTCACAATCAGCTCTTCCCTGTAAATAAACACATATCATATCGTTAATACGTGAGATCTCATGGTTTTTCTATATTTTAGCAACATTTTCATTAAACAATTTTGTTGTCTTATTATTGCAATAACAAGTATAAAAACAGAATGGAAATGGTAAGACCAAACGACTTTATCTAAAATAACAATTACATATTATCGACTATTCAATAATTAATTACTAAAATTACGTATTACTATATAACATAGATACAACGTTTTTAATAAACACTTCGCACCCTATCTTTCTCGCTATGATGATTTCCCAAACATAGACGTAAAATGCTTTCAAAAAAAAAAAAAAAAAAAAAAAAAAAAAAAAAAAAACCTTGAAGAAATACCAGCACCTTATTTAGAATTACATGTGACCTTTAAAGTAGTTTAAAATAAAAGGACATTTGTTGGAAGGATATTAATATATCTGTAACAATTGCAATAAATTAAAAATTATATGAAGAATATTAATTTGGATAAACATCTCTAAAAGTAAGGACTCTTTCCTTATCAATGAGATGTAGAAACATATTAATTTAAGTGAATACTTTTATGTGTTTTGTATCTAATATAATTTTCAAAAGGAAATAACAGTAAAATGAGATAACAATTGAAATTTCTTAAGTTTCAGTATAAGAAAATGATACTTGTTCGACAAAGTATATAAAGTAGTTGGTTTCTATGACTTAATGATCTATGACTTAATAATTCTTTCTATGACTATTCACTTAAATGGTTCAAGCGTAAGGAAAATTAATGACATAGCCTTACAGCTAAAAGTCAAAAGACCTTGAAGTTTAAGCTCCCATCAGCGGCCGAGCGGTAAAGTCGCTGAACACTGGTAGTTCGGTCCGAATCCCGCGAACGGGCTGGCTGCATGGGTGTTTTCGCAGTTTTCCCCATGTGTAACGTGTATACGAGCCAGTTTCCCTTAGAAAGTCCTCCACGAAGGCATCCCCTTCCTTAGACAGATAGCCCTCGAGGCTTTGCCGTAATTAAATAACATAACCTAACCTAACCTTGAAGTTTAATGAAAGTCTTATATTTTCCTATCAGACATCAACATAAATTAATCACATTATATACAACATAAAGCTTCACAATTTTTGAAACCGAAGAAAATTATATGGAAAACCTGAATCGCTTTTATATTAACTGAATTAACTGAAGGAAAAAGGAAAATATATACTTTCTAAAAAAAAGAGCAAAAACATTCAAAATACTAATTTTATTTAATATATATATATTAATTTTTTAAGCAAGAACGCTGGAACAGACCATTTCCTACTTATTTACACAGAATGTTTTCTTTTGCAAAAAAGTATGCAAATTATGTTTCTAACAGACCCCGATTCTCAGAGTTTTAAATATATGTTTTGATCAACGTACAGTGATTTTGTTGTCACGCGCAGGAAAAATTATGTAAACGCGAAAAAGATTTTATTGAAAGTTTCAGGGCTTCTGGAAAATCTGTTACACAAATTTCTGAGTTAACGCAAGGGAATGCCTACAGTTTATGATATTTTGAGCCTAAAATTATAAGAAAATATCTTATCTATTTTTTAAAAAGTAAGTAAAGCTTAAAGTAATTCTAACTTCTCGAGATTGAAAACCTATTCTGGAAAGAAATGAAACCATCTTACTAGTGCATATAGAAGGATTTGAATTTATCCTATCTAAGAAGTGACTGTTTCTCTGCATGAAAATAATATATTAAATACATCAAACCTGCTACACCAACTATTACTAAATCACATAGATCTATTATTCGGCCGTTATTAAGTGCTGAAGTGCATTTATCCATTAGCAGTGCGCTCGTGTTTCACATGAACCGAGAAGACAAGCGGTTTAAAGATGCATTTGAAGCAAAGGAATCTTAACAGGGATGAATCACATGGTTGGTTTCATCTGTTGTTATTGATGAAACGATAAGACTTATTATTAGATGGATGAAGCTGATCAGCACTTTACCTTAATTTTCTTTACCTTAATTACCTTAATTTCTGTAAGATTATAATGTGAAGATAAAATATGTTTTCCATTTTTCTGAGTTGTATTTGCATTGTTTAGTACCATAGAAACAACAAGCAAGATTTAGCTTTCTGAATTTTGTTGTGGAATATTTACGGTAAACCATTCCGACTAATTCTGAGACAAGCTCAACCGTGGTAGATCCTCATGAACCGTGTTCAGCTCGAATCCTGTTTAGATCCTGGCTTGAACCGTGTCCAAATCCTGGACGAATGGGCATTTTGGAGCTTTTCCCCGTGTGATGTTAATACCAGCCATTTTCTTTTAGAAAGTACTCCTAAAAGGTATTCCCTCACTTAGGAACATAACACTTGCGTGCTTTTCCTTAATGAATTAATGAAACCAAATCTAAAATTTATATAATTAATAATGATTTAAAATAATAAAAATCTGAAGTGAGACAGAAAAATTATTATCATTTACGTTAAAAAAATTTCAGCTCGTTATAATTTACATAGCGTTATACGAAATGAAGCAATTATAATCAAATTTAGTAAGGTACAAATGATAAAGCATGGTATTACGCTGAAACTAATAGTCTCTTGAAATAAACGAATTTTAAATTTTATGTACACCTTGCACACACAGAAAAAAATGGGACAATTCCATATCTCTCGTTCTACTGCACCGATTGTTGAAATTTAACTTACGTTTTCCATGTCTCAAAAGCGCGACTTAGGATATATATTAGATTTATATATAGCTTTGCTATAACACAAGTATTTTGACACAAAACCGGACTTTTTCTGAAATGACATGCCAAGTTTTTTCCATATTTCGATTCGACGACTTAAATTATGCCTAAATGTTACATTCTGTAAAATTTGGTGCGAAATTTATGGAGAAATTCAAAAACTTATCTTGGGGTATTTTTTCCGTTTGCGCCAACAGTAGTTCACTTGGCGAACTTCTTAATTTATAGCAACCTATTTTCCTTTCCTTTTTTTTCATTGTAGATGAGCTGAAAAAAAGTCATCGTTCATACTTTCAAATAATTTTAACAAAGTTCGTAAACCACATTTGGCATTATTATCGCTTATAACAAATATGCCAAATTTCAAAACGCACTTATATGTAAATTCACTTATATCTTAGGAAATTTTGAATGAAAAACTCTAATTTTTTTGAAAGTATGCTTCGAAATACATCTACTTTGAGATGATGGCAAAAATTTATAGGTTACAATTCAAAATGTTTCTCGAAAAATATATAATAATTATTTAAAAATACAAATTTTAAAAATAAATCATAAAAAAATGAAGGAATTTATTTGGAAGGAATCTAACTTTCGAAATGTGAAAGGAAGAATTAAATAAGTTATAAAAAAGAGATATTAATAAATATCTACCAAATTCAATTAACATGGAGGGCTAAAATTTTGAGAGATAATATTTTAAGAACTACTTCTGCGATTTTTACAAAACTTGGCATTTTGGCATAATTTGACTAGTAGAATCGAAATATGGGAAAAAATGGTATTTTATTTCAGAAAAAGTCCGATTTTGTTTCAAAATACCTATGTTAGAACAATGCTATATATAAATCGAATATATATATATCCTAAGTTGTGCTTTCGAGACATAGAGAACGCAAGTTAAATTTCGACAATCGGTCCAGTAGAACGGGAGATATAGAACTGTAACATTTTTTTTTTTTTTTAATGTGTGCGCAAGTTGTAACGCTTAATAAAGGCATTAACCTAAATTGAATTCTTTGAACGGGTTGACAGCAGGGGTGTTTTCGAGGTTTTCCCAATGTGTGACCTACGCAAATACAAGCCAGTTCTTTGAAAATCCTAAACATTCGTCCCTTTAGGCAGATAGCTCTGTTGCGCTTTGCAGTATTTAATTAAAGAAACGAACGTAATATAAGTATTCTCTCTCTCTCTTTTTTTTCTTTATACTTTTGCAGAAAATGATATGAATGATAGAAATGAGTAGAGATAAATGAGGAAAGTATTCCTCTAAAGCTTGAAAGTTCAGATTAAATGATAAATACATCAATAAAATTTGAAAAAAAAAAAAAAAAACGCGTAAAAGAATGGTTAATACAGGTTAAAAAACTCAGTTTGTCAAAAAACGTTTGGCAAAAGAGCTTATTACTCAGAAAAGTATTTTTTCAGGGTTCATTGAAATTCAATTTTTTAGAGTTAATGGCTTTTCGCTTTTGTGAAAACAGAAAATTTTTTCCTCATATTTATTTGTACAGTATGCTGGTTTATTCGGTTATGACAAAGCGCGCGACAGCTATCTGCGTAAGAGAAAGGATGTCTCTGTGGAGGATTTTCTAAGGGAAACAGGTTCGTGTTCATTTCACACATCGGGAGAATCAAATGGTATGAGGCGCCCCACACCATTAACTCGTAAGGAGACCCAGACCTGGTTGAGAGGCTATTTGGTGCATGACAGTCAGGTGAGTATACCACCGCTGTCCAGACCTGTCTTCGTTGGTCATCGGTTCTCATTTCGGAGTGGAACTCATCCCTGAAAACGATTCTACTCCAGTCCGCAAGGTTTCAAGTTGAATGCGTACGGCACCACTGGAAACATACTTGACGGCGTGAAGCTGTGAGGGGCAGTCGATGCAGTGGTCTCCATGACTTCAGCCCCGTTCACTGACTCGCCAATCAATCGTGATTGTAGTCTCTGTTATCCCTGTTACACTTCGGATCGTTGAAAGGGTGCATCAGAGGTTGAGGAGACAATCCCTCTGTTTTCGCATTGTGCCTTACTTTTTGGTCCACCGCTACCCTCTACAGCCACGGTTCACACATTCCTGCCAACATCGTCGAATGGTAGCATCGATCCGACCCAAATGTCTAGTGATCCTGAATCCATCTTGCTTCCTTTAGTCCAGTTGCAATTCCTCTCTCAAATGGTGACATCTTCTGGTACTGTTCGCGAATAATTGAAATGTCCTCCATTAATACACAATCCGGAGTCTCCGTTGCAAAGGGCTGGA